CCCTGTGTGTCCTTGCAGTCTCTAGTTCAAACCTTCATACTTGCCTTTTGTCTTTACCCTCCTCCTACATTGGATCTCTCTTGCTTCTCCCACATGGGTTTTGCCCTTTTTGCCAGTTTTCTTACTCATTTCACTCCTCCATCCATCATTTGATCTTTTGTCTTTAGAGACTGTGTGTGTGTGTGTGTGTGTGTGTGTGTGTGTGTGTGTGTGTGTGTGTGTGTGTGTGTGTGTGTGGGGGGAGGGTAGTTACATACAGTATAGCAACAACACAGGAAAAGTGGACTGACAAGTGGACCACAGGAGGCGGATAAAGTGAAAAGAAGGTAGGGGAGAGAGGAATATGCGTAATAGTCTTTTATACCAGAGATATGACTCAAGTCCTGAACATGCTGTCTTTTTTTAGCCTAATGGGAAGTGGGTTACTGAATGTCAATAAACAAAAAAGGTTTCATTTTATAAACCTCTTTGTCGAGCCGCTGTGCTCGTTGTCCAGTTAAAAGTTTTAATTAAATTCTGGAATTGGATTTCAATTTGGAGAGTAAGAGTTTTTGGACTTGCATTGTTTCCTGACTACAGTGATCGTCTTGGTGTGTGAGAGAAAGTACACATTTTAATTTATAAAAGTGTTTAATCCAGCCTCATAACGTTCTATTTAAGGTCTACAGCAGGGACATTACTGTATCTATTGCACCTACGCTTTGTATTTTGAGTACAATGAACTTCTAAATAGTAGGAAAAAAAGGAAAGGAAAAAGCTGCATATTTTTCTTCCATTCAATTTTTCCAATCATGACCACATCATTATTCCACCATAGTTTTATTCTGTTGTAACACATGGATATTACTGTACCTAACTTATCAAAGTGAGTTAGTTGTGTCACTTATACTTATCGAAGCAATAATTGCTGCCGAGTTGTGGCAAACTTTTTCAGTCCGTGTGAGGTGTTTGTGATTATGACTTCCGAGAACATATTCTCCACAAGCTAGCTACAGAGCTGAGTGCAGGTAACTAGAGGGAACAACACACCAAGGTCATTTACTCTCTCTCTCACATTGGGGAGACATGTTACACGACTCACAATGTTTCATTGCTGCTGTTCTGTTTCAGCTGCCAAATGCCCTGTCACTATAAAACATTGACTTATGATTAATGGCAAACACGTCTCCCATTCAATGATGTATAGCTATTAATTGACACTAACTGCCCATGTGTGACCGTGCATAAACTCACGTGGCTGTACGGGCATGCACACACCCACTGTGGTCCTGGTAAACATGTCAAAGCGTACAGTATTTACTAAGGGATTGAAGTGGGTTTGGGGCAGCAATGATTCAGGAGAATGGCCCCAGGGTCTGACAGGATGTTGTGGGTTGTGTCATTTTTCCCTCACTCCCTTGGTGACGAGCAGAGACATAAAGAAATCCTTTTACACACAGGGAGATATACAGAGACTCACATACACACCCAGCCATTCACTCACATATACAGCCTACACACATCAGTGTTTTACACCCATAAAAATGGTTGTTTGGCAGAGCAGTGAGTAGATGAGCTCAGAGGAAGTATCTGTCCTTTTTTTTTCCTCTTCTCTGTTTTGGACTTGAGCTGCAGCATGCTAATGCAGACTACATCAAACACTCACTGGAGCCGGCATATCGCTGCATCACTCAGCACCAAGAGCAGAACAAGAACTTGTCTGTCACTGCTCTTAATTCATTGTCTCCCTGGGGCAAAATGAGCGCTGACAGACATAAATGGCAGAAATGAATATCGTAAGATCACAGTCAAGGGTGGCGGTGAGAGAAAGTGGGGTGAGAAGAGTGAGGGAGCAGAGGGGGGGGGGCGAGGGAAGGAGAGATGTTGAAGATGGACAGAAACAGAGAGGAGAAGTGTAGGAGAAATGGTCTCTGGATGGGAGGTCGAATGAATGCATGTGAGAAAGAGAGATGAAGGAATGCATGGGTACGTCCCTGTGTCCCTCACTGCTGACAGTCAGTATATTATACTGGGCTGACCACCTGCTCTGAGCCTGCACTGCACCCTCCATAAAGCTACAGCAGATGGACACAGTAAAATGCACCATGACCAGCAGCTAAGCATTCATACGAGTGTTAATGTGTGTGTGTGTTCCTCCAGCAGATATCCCGTCAAATATATATTCAAATATGCCGTATAATATCTCAGCCCTCCAACATGTCCAGGAGGAAATTCCAGTAATATGTGATACTCTATAGGTCTGATGTCTCCGTGTCTTCCTACATCCCCTCCCTGTGCTGTAAGCCTATCAGCCAGTTAGCCAGCCAGGAATGCTGCTGTCAACTCGTATAACAAGCAACGCTCTCACATGTTCTTCCTCTGACTTCACTGCTCTCTGCTTAGCCGTGTCTCTACCTCAATACTAGTATTTTGAGGGTTGCATTTCTTCTTGTCACAGTATCATGTTCTTCAACCATATCAAAGTAGAGCAAACATATTTGAGATTTTAGTGGGTAGAAGCACCTTTTTCATTCCTATTGGCACTACTACTATTGTGCATTTTAGAAAATTCAGTTAGGAAATTGAGGTTGTGAAGTTATGTTCAAATGTTCAAATAGAAATACGTTTTTATTTCTTTACATTTCAATCACACATAGACTGCAAACAATGTAGGTGACCTCCTCATTCTTTGTTTTACGACCCATATGTTATCCTTTAAATCCACCTCTCCCCTTCTGTGACATTGAATCTTTTTCTGAGAGGTTTTGTATTCTAGTTACAGCCACAGTTGATGCCGCCTGGTTGTGTGATTGTTAGACTGGTAGAGAAATGGTCTGTTGTGCATTATGAGCTGGAATAGGAGTCTCCCCGGGGTTGGTATTGTCATTTCTTGCTATTCTCTCGAACAAAATTAGAAACAAATGCTTTCCATCTCCAGATCCAAAAGAAAAGAAAATTGCTGCTGAGATGGTGGTCTGCTGAGGAATTAAATTTTACAGTCAAGATGATTGGAGTGGAAATATTGGATGCAGTTATCTGTTCCTCACCCCTCTCTTGGCTCTTTCATTACACTTCTTTGCCATCAGTGATAACAAGGTGAATACCTCTCTGGATAGAAGGCCAAGTCCGTTTCTGGCTGCTGTTAACAATCAATCGCAGAAGTGTCTCCTTTCCCTCTGCCTCCCTCTGTCTTTCAATTATTTCTCTCTGCTCGCCATTCTCTTTCATCCGCTGACACACAACCAATCATCTGTAATTAGACAACTGCACAAACTAAATCGAGAAGTGTTTGCGATGTGCGTTTGTATCATAAGTGTTGAAAGGTCCTGAAAAGGCCTTCACATGCGAGTTGAGGTTCAGTCAGAGTTCATCTTCTCATGGCTAAACATATTTTCCCTCCGGACCAAAATCAACAAATGATCTTTCATTTGAGGAACATGCACACACAGACGCACACATGCACACACACGTAAACATTCACACTTAACAGGATATCACTATTTTGCCTTTTAAGGTCCCAGTTCATTTGCAGTTTGTAGGTGACTGTGATTTGATTTATCAGGCAAAGGAACATTGCCGGAGGATATTGAATTGAAAATATATCAGATGTATGAATTTCAACAGGGAAGGGTGAAATAATGTAACTAGATCTGATTTGGGGTCAAGAGCGGTACTGGGCCAATCAAAAAACTCAGGCAAGTGAAAATAGGAAAGAGAAGTTGAGTGGATCTTTTATACTCGGGTAGAGGAGGCTTTGACTTTGTAATGCAAGCAGCTTTCAGCAGTGTGGGAGCGCTATGTTCTTGACAGTTCCTGTCAAAGTAGTTTGTTAAGGCTTGGCTTTTTTGCTTTATAACTCACCATCTTTGTAGTATTTTGTCACCGTGTATTCATAAATTCTCCTTCCTTATAGTCAAAATGTGGTCAGTTACATTTGTTGGTGTAACAACAATGACAACATCTCACAATGTGCCCTGAGGTTAAGCCTTGAGAAGATGTTATACTGTGTAACAATTTATTTCTAATCAACATAGGAGACCAAAGACAAGCATTTTTTTTAAATGAGGATGTTTAAGAGTATCTTCTCCCATAATAAACAAGAACAATAATTGTAAACATAATCTTTATAAACTTAATGTGTGTGGGATCACTCTCTGATTCTCCTGGGTGACACTTTTGAGCTATAATACTGCACTGCTCACTTCAGAGCTGTGCGATACGATGGCAGCACACTGTAAGGCACTTTCTATTGAATCTCACTTATTCAACTGGCTAGATGACTCCGATTGCTCCCTGCCTCAGCTTTCCACTGAGCTCTTGCTCACCTCCTTTTTCTCTGTCTTTCTCTTTTACTCAGGTTAGCTATCTCTCCCTGTCCTTCTTGCTTTCTATCTGCAGTCACCGGTGCACAGCTCAAAGAGGTGGCTGATGGGAGTTCATTGGGTACAGTGTGTGTGTGCACAGAGCCAGTGCGTGAAAGTGTAGTTGTGCATGTGTGTTTGTCTCTCCGTGAGTGTGTGTGTGGCAACACAGCGATGTCACTGGGCTGTGTAATTGAAATGGAAATGAGCCAATCAGCGACTGCAGTGGTGTGCCACCTTACCCAGCATTCACTTCACTGTAGCAGCTCTCACAAACTNGCTTATACGAGTCAGGGTTTGCAGGCACCAACGGGCCTGCATGCTCACTCTACTCGTGGCCTGGCTACGTCCTGGGCTTTTTCAAGGGTGTTTCCATCCAGGACATTTGTGCAGCAGCGAGCTGGTCTTCACCGCTCACNTTCACACCACCTCCTCAGGCCCTCAGGGCTGAAACTGAAGGTCCAAGTATTGTCAGCACAAACACACACACACACACACACACACACACACACACACACACATACACACATACACACATACACACAGAGTGTGTGTGTGTGTGTGTGTGTGTGTGTGTGTGTGTGTGTTTGTGCTGACAATACTTGGACCTTCAGTTTCAGCCCTGAGGGCCTGAGGAGGTGGTGTGAAAATGTAATCAGTTGGTAATAAAGATGATGTGCCACTCTCTCACTCACACAAACATATGCAGCCGCCCTTGGTGTCCAGCTGATTTCACTGGCTTTGTGTTGTGACCACAGCTCCCTAGGACAGCTGTGGTATAACAAAGGCATGCAATTATCTCCATTTGACAATTAGCCTACCATCCAACTTTGCTCCTTAATTACCTATTTTACTGCTGGAAGCAGGCCTCCGCTGCCACTCTCAGCTGCAACTCTTTACTCACAAGAATGCAAAAGAGCTCTCATGATGTTGCTATTAGTATGTCGTAAAAGAGGGAGTGAGTGTGGTGGTTGGGTGGAGTGCATACATGCGTATGGCATTGAGAGGAGGAGCGAAGGCAACTCAGCGTTAACTCCATCTGGACAATTTCTTATGTGATCTGTGCCAGCTTTTAGCTTTCGTCCTAGGAACAAACATGTTAGCCATTTTTGTAAGCACTTTTGAGTGTGCCACCATCAAATATTTTTTTGTTTTCTTATAACATATCATAATTAAAACACCTAAAAAAGGGATCCTGCTTTAACATCAACTTGGATTGGCCTGTTGTGATGGTTGAACAATACTGCCCCCTTTAAATGAACACAGCAACAGGTGGCGGGGCAGGGCATCTGTATCAAAGCTCAACTGCCAGAAATTAAAGTTTAATATTTATTTAACATCTCATGACATAATAATGACAAATATAGTTTTGATTGGCAAATGTATGGATAAGTTATAAATGATATATTTATTTCATTATAAAAATAAAAAGATACTATTTTTAAGCAAACTCAGACACAATATATTGCTGACACAAACGAACAAAACAGCAAATATTGATGCAACTTTAATTTACATTTGTCCTTTGTGCCCACTGGATTAGTTGATCCTGCAGTCTCTTTGCAATTACTCTCTTCTATTGACTGCAGTGTTACTGAACTGTCTCTTCTGCTAAAATGCCACTCTTTAAGATTCTCACAGAGTACAGCCTTGATTTACATTCCATTGGTGAAACCTCTTGGTACTCCTGTGTCCTTTACAGAGGCTGATATGTTTGAACAACACAT